AAACGATATTCATCAACGGAACCAACAGCAAAACTAACAAGTTTGATATCGCGTGAAAAATAAATATAATATATCGCAATGCGATCTCCTTGACGACCGTAAAACTTCCCCGTAGTTTTCAGCAACCTGCATCTTTTGAAACTCGGTGTTATCAGTTCGTCTCTCAGTTGACATCTTACACGAAAATCCTGATATTGGGAACAGGCCCTTGAATATCGAATAAACGGTGACATGTAAATACTATTTGTTGGAGATGCAGAATGTAGCTTTCCAGAAATGGAAAATTCACAATAGAAAAATTGCAATCAACGCGCGTATCATGCAGCTGGTGTAAAGCAGTCAATTCTGCTTTTGCCGTAGGAAATGAACGAGATAAGTCACTAATATAGACGAATATTACCTGTCTTTAGTTTCTAATTTTGAATGTGAAATTAAAGGAATTTATGACTTGTTTCGATAAGCTCTTTGGAAAAAAAAAACTTTGTATGATAACAAAAACAAGTCAGCCAACAGAGAGGCACAACTAGTAACTAGTAATAGGGATTGCAATAGAATGCGGCGTTACAATTTAACGTATCAATGCATCCATTTGCCTGTATAAGAAGGTTGAAGATTTGCTGATCCTTTGGCGAGCCAATAATGTATGTATATAATGCTTGACTTGAGGCAAATACAGTCATTGAAGTACTTGAAGACACGAAGTGTTCCATGACAAAATTTGCGAAACATAGCCCAAGAGCAAGCAATGTTCAGAAAGCAAGCGTTTAATTACGAGCATCATGATTAGGAATCGAATTGGAATGTGGGACCTGAAGACGGGTCAAGACGTGTCAACTTCCCCCGGAAGTGTAATATGGAATTCAGCCAATATTACATCACTAGCCGTTTCGTTCGGTCTAATACTTGATTTTTACGATGCGTCCTGTGATAGTGGAAACCAAGATTGGTTATTTATGAATGTTCATAATCATTACAAATAGAACATTATGTCATCTATCGAAGACACAAAACATTAGAAACATATTTTTATAAAGCAGTGGCCAGACCTTGTGCTCAGGTGTAGGAGGAAGACGTTATTCTAAACACGCTTACACGTTGAAGAAGTTCTCATTCGAGCAGCATGGTTATATTAAAAGAACATAGTTGAAATATATCGTTACAATCGTTCAACGATGCTGAGCGAATCATGTCTGTAAGTACAATTGATCACCCTCTGGGCATATGTATGCAATGACTTGTATGATTTATATTCTGACACGATTTCAACTAACACAACACTGCTTCTGTTATTTCATTTTGATATTCCTATATCACATGCTGGCAGAATAAGCATATTGAAACGAAATTTCCATAATTTACCACTTCCTTTGAGCTGTCAATGCATTGAAAATGCATTAGAGACATAACACCCAGATTTCCTGTGCGAGCTTGAAATAGGGAGTTAGCAGAAAGAAACTCTTGGTTTTGGGCAGACATTTACCTAACCAGTCCACACCTCTGGTGAAACGAAATGACCAGTGATTCTAGATTATCGATCTCCTTAAAAAGTTTTACCGGTTTGGTAGAATACCAGATATTTGTATATTATGGAAACTTGAAGAGAAGAAACAAACAAAATTCTTCTCTCTATTGGATACTGTCGGAGAAATATTTTGCTTTTTTATTTATTAGCCGGTATTTTGGCCTACACAATGTATTTGTTTACCGTGATTATCTAGATACGGAGTATTGATTGTCAGATTCAAATATCATTACTATTAATTGATGGTTAATAAATTATAAGGCATTCCTGTGTATACTGCTAACAAGTTTTATACCGATTTTAATCAAGTTTGCCCATATTAATTAAATCTTAGTTATAAGGCTAATTAAATCTCTTTACATGTAAATGGCTTTACGGTGTTCACGTTGCGTTTAAAATAAGCTTTCCGGTCCGGAAATACAAATAATTCAATAAAATTGATAAAAGGCAAACAGAGAATTCCCGACTACCGTTATCGCGAACATGCTATTGGGTTTTATTATCGTGATCAATTTTCACTTTCAGTGGATATATTAGTTTGTAATTTCATGCCGACAGATAGAAATAAAGAACAAAATTTAATTCTGATATATATTCACGACAACTGATTTATCAAAGGTAACATTAAATAATTATTAACAAAACAAATTACCATTAAGGCATTTATTATTCAAACTAAATGTAAGAAACAAGGCATTATTTAACAATATATCGCTTAAACTATTAATATCAAAAATCGATTAACCAAGTAAAAATGTATACAAGGTTTGATTTATAACCAAATTCGTAAACACAAATAATTGATTTCGATCAACCAGACTAATAACTAAAACATAATTGATTAACAAAATAAGATATCATACAAGCATCGATAAACCAAACTTTAACAAAAACTGTGTATCAAAAGGTCCTGGCTATCATACAAACACTGATAAACCAAAATATAACGAAAAACTGGGTATCAAAACGTCCTGGCTATCATACAAACACTGATTAACCAAAATATAACGACAAACTGGGTATCAAAACGTTCTGGCTATCATACAAACACTGATTAACCAAATTCTAACGAAAAACTGGGTATCAAAACGTTCTGGCTATCATACAAACACTGATTAACCAAATTCTAACGAAAAACTGGGTATCAAAACGTGCTGGTTATCGTACAAACACTGATTAACCAATTTCTAACGACAAACTGGGTATCAAAACGTTCTGGCTATCATACAAACACTGATTAACCAATTTCTAACGACAAACTGGGTATCAAAACGTGCTGGTTATCGTACAAACACTGATTAACCAATTTCTAACGACAAACTGGGTATCAAAACGTGCTGGTTATCGTACAAACACTGATTAACCAAACTAGTTACCAAACAAAACATATTTACTTCTTAATCACTCATTACTTATGTCCAAATGTACGTAAGAAATGGCACACACGCACTTACCTAATTAAGTTACACAAATTAATCGTACTTTACATTGCAAAAAATACTGATTTACAAAACTTAAAATACATACAAAAAAACTTATTTTCAATATCCGCTTAGCTTATATATCCATATGAAAGCCAACATATTTGTTTCGGTTTGATGTCATTGGTTTACTTAAGCACAACAAGAAGGGCAATAGGTGAATTGTGTTATGCTAGAACCTGGAACTCGTGATTTCTGACAGAAAATCGTACGGCAAAGATATATCATGGTCTTATCTACGCGTCGTTTTTAAGAACGTTGGTATAGGAAGCATTTGACAAGTGTAACACATCCCCCGTTGAATGAACTTAAATATCTGATTGTAATATTGATCAACTGAGCATCATTATGCAAAATTGTTCTCATAGAATGATTTCATATGGACCATGAAATTCTTGTACGTAGCCACTATGAAAGGGATGTTCATCGTTATAAGTATTTTCTCAGAATTTTGAGAGAACAAAAAAGAATATTTCTATATTTTCTATTGACCAATATAAATGTACACACGAAGGGAAACGTTTCATGCAAATCATAAAGAGTTGGACGAAAAAAGTAACAAAAGTCTTAAACTCATTGGGAGTAAAAGTAATCAGTAACCTCACGCAACTATGGACGAAACATGATCAGGAATTATCTGTAGACGTTATGTGGTAAGAAATGACAAATAGGAAAGATGGACTGGGAATGGCGAAGCGGACGAAGAGAGACGGGCAGCAACAGATTCTCAACAATATGAGTTTTGTGAGGATACCTTGCCTTATTTCGGTGTAGACAACACGGAGAACCTAACAAACATACTGGCGATTAAACGTACCTACACTTGAAACAATGTATGTTAGGGACCAAAGACATAAACAGGCCAGCGGAACAATTCTAAACCACATTAGCACTACAGGTAAACAGTTTTATTAGCAATGAACATTTGTGAAAATAAGCATTCAGCGGAAATGACGTGGTTGCAATAGAAGGTTTTTCATCATAGCAATTCTTTGGAACTACCCACGTACATGCAAATCGTGAATTAGTGATCATAGGAAACCATTTATATTATTTGACGACATGAAGAATCTTATCCTGTTTACAAAGGAGGTGTGTTTTAAAATTAATTATGTGGTGTATAAGGTACAACAACATGAAGAAATCAACTGACGGCTTCATTTCCGACTTGAACTTATACAGATTACACCTATATAACTACTGTCGACGTTTGATGTTTTGCCATTTTCATTTCAAAAAATACCAATAGACGCAATTAAAAACAACTTGAAAATATAAATGTGTAACTGAATTTTCTTATATACTCTATATACATGTACACCACGACGAACATCGGATATATCTATCTTCAGATCAATCGTTGTAGAACGAATGTTATTGGTACGTTTGCTTCATTGTCAGATAATTGATAAATTACCGAAATAATAAAACGAATCAACTGTAAACTAATAAGAATACATCCCACCATTACATTGCTGCTGAATGAAGTCAATGTGTTGGATACATTTAGTTAAAATAACTTGTTTTATTGTTGTGCGAAGAATGAAACACATGAATTATTTTATTGGCCTCGATTTTCCTTCCAAAAGTATTTTTTGATTGATTAAGAATACATAATTGTTCGAACTACGGCACAAAACGTGATTATGGTAAATCAAAAGGCCATGTTTTATTAATTTTGAAATACGCAGCAATACTGATATAAATCTTAAAAGCTTGTGTAAACCAAATAAATCTGCGGATAATATCCTGCTTATCTCTATTTTGTTTTATAAGGAAAGCCATGACAGATAAATGTATTTAGCATAACTGTTTGTAAATAGTAGATCAAGTTGAACGAAAAGGAAAAATGTAAATCACGAAAATAGAAAAGTAAATAGAACCTAAGAATATTACCTTTCTACCAACATTTAACGCAAAATAGAAAAGGAATATATTCAATGTTTTATCAGGCATACCCCGTCTTTGAAAATAAGACAAGTAAAAAAGAGACCTACCTGTATAGTATTAATCCGGCCACAGACCAGTAGGAGGGCTAGCGTGAGACCCCACATGGCAGCTGTCCTTGATGGCATGCTGTCGCTTGTTCAGGTACACAGATTCTGGATGGAGCAGACTCACGCTTGCTTATAAGTAACCGGATTGATCTGTACAGGAACGACTAGGGAGGGATCTGTATCAACCTAACAAAGAGACTGGCTGTCAAACATCAATTAGGCCACGCTTAATCAGTCAGTTGTCAGGTGCTCTGCTCACATAACAATGACGTCGCCTACGCAGAAAATAATGACATCATCATTTAATGTGAAGATTTTACGATTTTGGTATTTCCAAACGTCAAGTATATGCTCTGCCGACCAAACGCCCACATCAGTAGAATAATCATGAATAAGTTATGATAAAAACACGATTTTTATACATCAATAAATCCAATACGGCGGGTACTTCTTTACAAACCTAAATATCATCAGTACTAGGACTTTGTCTGATAGACCTTAAGTGTCATCATGTTACACTTGTAGCGTTTATCGCTGTTTGTCTGTATAATTAAATGACTGTAAAAATTCTCGGAAACAGAAACGCATTTTAAACCTTTAACTAATACCACGTTTCAATTGATTTGAAAAGTGGAATGGTTCAAAACCCACTCATACACTTGACTTTGTCCTGATATCAACCGATATATGACATTTACGAAATGTACTGATTGACAGGACATGCGCACCTCCACATCTAACAGTTGACTTTTCTTTTAATAACTTTAGGAAAGTCCTCAGTGACCTTCTAAGCCTCAAACTTTAGGTCCTTACCATCACTGATGTGTATAGGAAGCACGAAACAGCTGTATGATGCAGATTGATTCCATGCTTGGCTCTGTTGTATCTAACTTTCTATTAAAATGTGTTATTCACTTGTGTATCTTTTGTACAAGCTTCCTTTAAATCAGAATTTAACTAATGACATGGCAGATATCGTGAAGAGTGTAATTTAATTTTTGTTTTATAAAATTGATTGTTTGTAGACGTTCTGGTGGACTAAAATGTTCACAGTATTGAAGATGATATGTTACAATCTTCCAAAGTTATTGATGTTAACATGTTAATTATTATTACAAACATGGTATGCAATTGATTTATCGAGCGATTACAAACAAACTTTACAACAAAATATTAAAAGTGCTTTTGTGTAAATGCATTGTGTTGCTTTTGTACCGCAGTGATAACACTATATAGTGTTAATGTTGAATTGATTGGTCTATAATGTTGTGCTATGTTTGTGGTGGTGTTATACAATGTTGCGTCCTCAGTTGTACGTTTTGCTGGAAGTAGTAATCTCTGATGATGTTTAAGAATCACACATTATTGTGATTGTTTCCAAAGGTGTACCACCTGTAAGTACAGAGTGAGTTGTCGGGATTAGTAACGACTACAGGCAAGACGTAATGTTGGAGATAAAACACATCGGAGACTTTCGGTGTATTACTATTTATGGATAAGAAAAATATTCTGGAATTGTAAACATCCAATGTTGTTATCGTAGTTATGTATAACTTTCGCTGTGCTGGATATATATCTATAAATGTTTGAATTGTATATCCTATGGGAACAATAGAGTAGTGGGGCGCCATTTGTTGTCCTCAGCGGATATCTGGAGTTGAATATTTATTGAGGGACCAGTGTTGATGGCGATGATGTATTACTGTGTAATGATTATGACATAATTGCGAGGGTTACATTTAATTATTGATAACTGTTGTCTTGTTGCTAGGTTTTGACTATTCGCGTCGTTATGGAAAGGTTTTTCTACCATCTTCAGATTTTGTTTGTTCAAACGGTAACGGAATAAGGAGAGTTACACGGGAAATGACGTTACAAAGTATGACGTTGCATAGCAGTGGATGAGTATGCAGATGAGTTGAAGGTGTGAGGTGCCAGCAGGCTGCTGTTGTGACGTACTGGTACCATGAGATAAGCTAATTGTGTTGTGCGGTGCTGCCGTTATTGGACACCGGTATTAACGTCTAAAAATATGTTTGTCACTGACTGTGCGGGATGTTCAACTTTTGATGCTGGCGATTTTGAATTCTGAATTGATTTAATATTGTATTGTGCTGTTTCTCGTGGAATAAACTTTGAAACGATGTTTTGCTCGTTTATTGACAATGTTAAATAAATCGGAGATTTGTGAACAGGAAGATTAGCATCGTCCATTTGAAATACAGTCGATCCCTCTTAATTTCAATTTTGTAATTAAAATAGAAAACATTGAATATTTAAATCTATCACATGTGGTCCCTGTTAAGTTACTTATGTTTTCGTAGAGGTAAGTCTAAACAATTTGTTCCTGTAGGCAGATTTAGGAGGTATTACATGGAATGAAACATTTTTTTTAAATTTTAAAGTGAAATTGAAATACGTTTAGATCAGTTCAACTGAGATTTTTTTAATAAATTCAAAGCTCCATCACAAAACAACGAACAAACACCTTAAATTTGGAAAATGAGATTTGATAACAACAAATTGATAAGTCAGGTGGACTACATTGTGATCGAATATATGAGTGTGAAATTGAGAGGCTCTAGAACGATGGCATAAGCCATACATATTTGTTTATCACTCGGAGCTATGAACGAAATTTCAATTTCATGGGGCAGAAATCAATCATTCATACTTTGCCAGTAACAAAACCGCCAAAAATATCCAGTTTACTTTAAAGAGAACGAAGGAGTATATATATATATTTATTAAGATTTTCCAGGCATGAGTAAATTCTTAAGATCACGAAAGATTACAGCAGAGATGCTGTAGTATGATCTTGCTTTAAATTTAAGCAAATTATTTTACTAGCGCTCTGGTAGGTTGTCAGGTTTGTAATTGTGTTCGTTCCATTGATAAGCCTGTTGGATGGTCGTAGTTTATGATACACAAAAAGAAAAGTACAGTGAATGACAAGTCTGTATCTGTACCCTGGTAATGGACGATAAAATGGGAAACCATACGCGGCATTGTACGATTTGGAACAGACATTGTGTAATACCATTATCTATCGGATGGAGTACATGGACTTATACATCATAAGCTTATACATAGCGAATGTGGATAGGCAATGGCACCAGACACACGGAGCTTGGGTTTAAAAATAAAGTCATTCAGGGAATTCTGTTCATCAGTGTTTTTCTTTGTCCCACATGTTTCACGAAACTAATTTTAATGGAATCCTTGCTGGTCGCAGTAACATGATTTAACTATCAAACTTAACTCCATTTCACGCGAGCGGGCTAGATGTGAATGTTGAGAGACGACAATCAGATTTTAGACATGTGTCCTACTTGTCTTACATTGGATAACTTTAAGGTAGAGCAAGGCTAAAAGTATGGTAAATGTCTTCCATATTTAGATCTCGTGCTCACTGTAAAGTTGATAAACACTATTGTCCTTACAGAAGGCAATCCCTACTCTAAACACCCGTTTGATTAGATTCTTGAGAAACAATCCCTGTCCCTCGTTTACTTTGTTTGGGACTTTGGCTGTCAAAAGAAAAACATTCTGTATAAAATAATGATTTCAATGATTGCATAAAATGTTGTTTCTGTGTTATTTGTGGCAAACTTGTCGTCAAATACGGCGATACAATTGTATTTAGTCAATGACATATGCTTAATATTAATTTTGATTTCTCTTTGTCAGTTATGATGATACTAATTAGTATTTAACGCCATTTAAATCACAGATTTGTATCTGGCACATAGACAATACACTATCGAGCATTTACGAACATCTCCGAAAAGCTCGCTTTTAGTTGTTTTCCAAAACTCCTTGACATATAGGATTCGAATATATAGGCCAATCCGGCTTATGTCGCCCTGTGGAAAGATAGACATTGTAGCAAATAGTAATTACAGCAATTATTTACAAGTAAAGACGTTGAATTTATTGCAGCATGGACAAATACCATGTTGAGAAATCAGTGAATCAAGCATTTTATCTCATACAGAATCAGTAATGTAGGTGTTTTGTGTCTGTTAATATTATGCTCTCAGGCATTAAATAAATTTGTGTGTGACAACACCTGGTAAGAACGCTAGTGCAGTATAAAACACATTCAGAACACCAAGTCTCTATTTTGTTTATCGTCCTGCATGGTAAACCTTAACATTGCTACTATTTTGTATCATTTTGTCGGGTTTGTCAAAAAGAAAGGCGGCATTCACTTAAAATTCATTTAAATAGTTATTATAGGAATATTAAATGTATTTCTAGAAAATTCAAAGATTTAAAGACAGAACACCGCATTGTGCGTCAGATACTAGTTTCAAAAATTTTATGAAAACACGAAAATTGGAGTCTGTTTAAACTTGTTTACTTTCATGTCAATTTCATAATAATAACTGACACAGCTGCACAGGTAATGTGTTATGTTCATCTGTTGTTGGAAGGTTGATTAAAAAATTTGTCACGTGACGACAGTTTAGATAATATCTCACCGGTATACTTTCAAGTGCCTCTGTTACGCTTCTATATCACTGGAAACGAAACCATTTGTGACAACTCAGATTTTTCAAAGCCTTTTATGACTGTTTAATAGCATCTAGAAGGAAACACTCTTTGTGACTTAAACGAGGAAAACACGTTAAGAAGAAAGTTTACAGACTAATTCACGAAGTGTACAAAATTGCACAATTAATATCTAGACAAGTGCATGGAGTTTACCGAATAATAAAACAAGTGTGCAAATTGGCACAACAAGCTCACCGAATTTGTAGACAGTTACAGCAAGTGCAACAATGACACGGAATTCGGTTATAATACGTAATATATTCTCTAAAGTTATACATATGTACCAGGCTCTGTAATCAGTTAAAATTATATTTAACTGTTTAAAGTCTTTAAGACAATATGTAAAATACTTCTTTGAGTTAAAATTATACTACAATCGCCTAATGTAACAGGGATATCATATTGAATATCATTCTAAATTTGTTTAAGAGGTATTATTCAGTTGAGATATGAAAATTCCTCAATTTATTTGATTATGATGTTAATATTCCTTCCCGTCTACATGTTGACTTTCGATA